CCGAGAGTTGAGGCCAACTTACGCCAGGCCAGCATCAGGTAACCGGTGGCCGGGAATATGGCGTTCCCATCGACCGCGTGGTCCATATAGAAGAGGTCCTCCTTAGCCAAGCAATTGATGGTGACATTCATGTCTGAGGCGTTGGCCCTGCAATACCTTTCCGGGTATGTCCTACGCGTGAACTGCACGCTATGGTCCCATCGGATGAGCGAACTGATAGACTGTGTGTTTCGGGAGACCGGCCACTCGACCTGAGGGTATAGGCGCTCAATGGAGAGGTTGAGCCCGAGTTCGTATAGAGCGCCCAAACCCGACAAAAACATATCGAGATTTGTGTCGTTGGAGTCCTTTTTGATGAGCGATAAGTAGGAGGAGTTGTCGAGGGTTTCGGTGACCACTTTCTGGAAGAGGGAGTGCGGACCCAACTCCAAGACAATGGCGTCCGCAGGAAGTGTTTTGAGTTTGTCGTAAAACAGGACCGGATTTATGAGATTATTGACGAAATACTCGGCCGAAGCGTATTTGAGGGCCTCGTCCGAGGGGTCGCCTGAAGATGAGAGCGATGTGGACAACCATTTCTTGGACCGCAGCCGAGGCTCCGGCATATGTCTCTTAATGGCTTCAGTCATGGGCTGAGCAGATGTCTGCAGGTATGGGGAATGGTATGGGATTTCGCTGCTCTGTAATTGTCGCACAAATACTCCCTTTTCTTCCAACGATTTAATCATTTCTTGCATTTCAGTCAAAGGACCTGAAAGTGAGGCAAACATTTTGTGTTAAACTTAGCAGTCAAGGGATCTATTACTGGTGATTATTACCGGAAACCACGTGACTATCTTTTGAGTTATAGCAGGCAATGGTCACCCCTTTGGGACACAACTTCTTGGTCTCGGCCTTCGAGAGTCCCACGACAGCCATCAGTCCTTTGGCTATTTGTGTGTCTTTTTCGGTGATCTCTCCCCTGATGTAAGTGATAAACATAGCCTCACGAGTGGACAGACACCCGTCAGCATAAGCACAGGCTATCTCGCCAAATGAATGGCCGATTATGCCGTCGGGTGTGATGTCTAGGGCTTTGATGACTTCAAATAAAGCTATTTCTATAGCAGTTGTGGAGCAGAACTTTGCAGTCATTGTAGAGATAGTGGTCTTGTCTTCAGATAATAACAAGTTTTTCAAATCGACTCCAAATTCTTGTAGTATTTGATGGCATTCCTCCACTTTGTCGGCGAATATCTTGATTGACATCAAAGCCTTAGCCATTGCAGGCCATTGTCCGCCCAAACCGGGGAACAGTAGCCAAAGGGGTCGTACGGTTTTGCTCTTCATAAGACCCATTTGTTTCTTGTATTCGTATTTGATTTCATGGTTTTCTTCCGACACTTTCTTTATGATAATTGAACCTAAAATTAAAATATTATTTATTATGATAACAGTGACCAATAAATTCAACAAGGTATGCTTCATTTATTATATCTTATAATAAAGTTTATTTTACAGTTTATTAATTATTTTTTAAACTGACTTAATGTTTAATAAATTTTTAGTTTTTACAGTTAATCACTTCTAAACCTTTTGAATCTATAGTCGTTTTGTAAAAGTTAATGTGTTTCACTAATTAATAGGTTTTTACTGACTTTTAGTCAAAAACTTTTAAAAGTAAGGCTTTATACTAACTTATTAGTCAGTTTAGTATGAAATTAATTAAATTGAAACCAAACCTCTGTACGGCATTCCGGATGAGTTGACATTTGGTGTGTATTTCATGGTTTGTGCCAAAAGTGCCAAAAAATCTTTCGTCACTTTCTGTGGATTATTCTCAATGAAAGTGAATATATGTTTGACGGCCTCTTCAGTTCGGCCGCAAATGTTGACAATTCTGGGCATAGTTTCGGCGATTCTTAAGTCATCACTGGTTCCCAACTTATAGTTTGGTTCCAGCAATACGTGTGCATTGGCACCACCGATGCCAAAATTGTTGATACCAGCCAACCCTGGTATGCAAGTAATTTAGGTGGCTTAGGTTAAGTAATTTTAATGCTACATACTATATGCAGCATATACAAGAATATTCTGTATACCTGGTTTATATGGGTATGGTTTGAGAATAGGCATGAGTGGTGGACAATATATGGCACACTCCTCCTTAAGGGCAGTCATGTTAATGTTGGGGGGAATGCATTCATTTTCGTATGCAATCAACACTTTAATGACAGATGCAGTGCCCGAACCGGCCTCCGAGTGCCCCATATTGCTCTTCAGTACACCCAATGGCAATGGATGCTCACGTCCCGGTGCCTTACAGTAAGCCCTGTATATAGCTTTCAATTCTTGCGGATCACCCGCCTGTGGATATAACACACATTTATTTTAAATCTATTACAAAACTAATACATTTAGTGTTACACACTGGACAGGTGTGTCATACCTTAGTGCCGGTGCAATGGGCCTCAAAGTAGGTGAGGGCGAGAGGGTCTATATTGGCCTCAGTGTACGACCTGACCATCAGGTCCTCCTGTGCCTCAGCGGACGGGAAGAACATTCCGATGGTTTTGTTTCCGTCGGTATTTATTTTGGCCGACAATACGGTTGCGTAGACGCGTCGGGCGTTTCGGCGGCGCTGCAGAAACACACCGCACACGGCCTCCCCCTTCACGAAACCGTCGGCGCTCTGGTCGAGCACTGCGGACACACCTCTCGGCGAACAGAGACCCGTCTCCTGTTGGAACTGACAGACGTACGGCTCAAACACCATATGAGTGCCGCAAACGATCGCGTTATCAATGTTTCCTTCAGATTCAGGACAAGTGGTCATGAGTTTAGTTCATTTGAAATGGTTTTGTTTTTTCTGTGAATTTTGTGTTAAGCTTATACCGAGTTTTATGTCATTCATGGCCAAAGTCATGGCACTCATACTGGCCGAGCAGGCGGTGTCCACTATCATGGAGGGACCCTTGAAGTCAAATACGAATGATATTCTGCTGGCGTAGAAAGTCTTGGTGTTAGACATGGCTTGAATCATAACGCTCTGCAAACTGGTCCGCGAGTCGGGCTGTATGTCCTCGGGATAGCCGTCGCACATGGCGTATATGGAAACACCGACGTATACACCAGTTTGACTGCCACGGAGGTCCTGTGGGTTTATCCCTGGTCGATAGTTTGTGAATATTTAATAATTAAGTATAATTAAGAAAAATAATTTTTTCAATTAGTCAAGAAAATTGCACAAAAGTATTAATTAGATTAACTGAAAATACCTGCGTCCATAATAGCCTCGTGAGTGATCTCCAGAAGCATCCTGGCCTGTGGGTCCACCTCATTCACCATTTGCTCCATAAGCCCGAAGTATGACGAGTCAAACCTATTATAGTCCACTATTTTTCCCATTCGCGGCGATATCTCGTATAAGTCTTTTACGACAATAAAGTTAGGATTTTGTGTCACATTTTTGCAATAAAATAGTACCTATTGGCCAACGGGTGTCATCACCGGTAACCATATCTGTGCCCTCATATAAATTCTTTGCTAACTGATCCGTATTGTCGGCTAATGGGAACCGACCACCCATTCCACTGATCACAACATCGTTTTCAGACATGTTTCACAAATAAGACTTTAGTTTAAGTTTTAAATGAGTGTTAAAAGCTTTTCTTAAAATGTTTTATATGAATGATAACTGAGTGATGAGTGGTAAGGCCTATCAGTGCCATCGTTTTTATAGTCACTTAAGAAGTGATCGAAAACTAATTGAATACCAATCATGAGTTAAAGATAATAATTACCATTCATAATATCAAACTTTCCCAAATTGCTTTTATAGTTAAAAACATTATTGAATTTAAATTAGATTATTATACGAATTTGAAAAAATATCTGTAAAGCTATAATAGTATTGTAATCGTGTATTAGAGAAAAGGAGGCCAATGGACATCTAATGCTAATGTAGTTAATTGTGAAGTTATATTCAGTAAATTTCCTAATGTTTTTAATGTTAATCTTTCAGATATTTTGAGCAATATTATGAAATATTATCTAAATTTTCTGATAAATATGCGGTAATTGTGGAGCTTAAGCCTAAGTATAATAACTACAAATGAGGCATTTCTACAAAAAACAAAAATAAAATTTTCAATATTTATAAACAAATGTACGACAAAGTGGTCCTTGAAATGTATATAAGTTATGATGTGTTTCAATTGAATTTTAAAGATAAAAAATTTGTGAGTTTTTTCACTAAAAATGTATATATTTCTGTTAAAAAATCAATTTTTGTGAACTAAAAAAACTAAAAGTTAAGTCAAGGAGATATAAATAGCAAAACAATTAAAAGTTTCCATTAATTTTGAATGAATGATAGTTTAACAATAATTATGATAATCACATATAAGGGAAAGTTTGAACATTTGACGTAAGGGTTTAATTGATACAATGTTTATCATGGTGCATCCCTGACCTTGCAGCTCTATACTGGTATAAAAGCAGGTATCATTTTTTAAATATATTAATATAATTACCCGTATTTTTGCTATGACTGTAATATAATATATAAAAATATTGTTTCAAATTGGTTTTAACTATTGGCTTAAAATTATTTCATATTAAAATAACCCAGGTTTATTATTTCATTAAATAATCATGAAGTTTACCAACATAACTATCAGTATAGATATTGATTAAAATTAAGTGATTAATTGTTAAATTGATAAAAAAATGGATAAAAATCACTTTCTGAGAAAATCATTTCATAAAACTACAGTAATTTATACTATAGTAATACAGGTATACTGTCTACTAAAACAATAGAACCAGTATTACTGTACAGGGACAGTTATACCTTTGAAGGCAAAATTGTTATGCAATTGTTTTTCACAATAAAGATTTTTATAGCAGTATTATACAATAAAGCATACAATAAATTATAAAATACAATGTAATGCAAGAATTCAAATATAATGAACAAAAAACTTATGGCTTTAAAAGAATTTTATTGAACAAAATAAATGCACATTTTATGGACAATTATCTCAGCCTTAGGCGTGAGTACAGACACCGATGGTCTCATCAAATACCGTTCCGGTACCGCACTGTCTCGGCACTTTCTGGAAACTACCGTTTCCTAAGGCGAGGCACTGGTAGTAAATGGTCGGGTCGTTGGGGTCGACAAAAGAACCGGCAGTTTTGCACTCAAACTGACCGTCTGGGCCTGGATCGGGTCCGGGATCAGGTCCTGGCGCTGGGCCGGGTTGGTATCCCGACCCCAAATCGTTATTGATTCGTGTCAACAGTGGGAACCGGCCTTCACCGCAATGACCGGCAAAGTCGTCGGTATCTATGGACCAAATACAGGCGCCTCCCAGTCCTTTACTCTTAAGGAAAGCCACTTTCTCGCTCAGACTAGTCGTGTCGTCATAACCGACCCATTGGTTGCCTTTGACGGCGTACGGGATCTTTTGGGTGGCGTCCCGATAGACAGTCCACTGTCCGGTCTTTAAGTTATCGCAAATCTATTTGACACAAGTTTTTAAATTCTTGAGACCATTCTGTAGTCACTCGAGACTTCAAATGCAATCAATCCTACAAACCTCCAAATAGCCCAAAATGCCCACTTGTCTGGTGTAGGGACCCTCATCACCACCGGGGCCCTCAGCCGGTGCCTGCAAACCGTGTACACTGGGATTCACCAGTTTGAATGAACGGCCATATAGTGGGAGACCCATTACCTGTGTACAACATTTTTGATATTATAATTTACAATTAGATTTGCTTGTATTTAATTACTTGGTGATATTATATAACTAATAGTAAATATTGCATAGTAAAATAAATAGCTAAACTAGGTTTACTGTATAAGTATTATTTCGCACACAACTAATCTTTGCGAAATGAATTTAAGTAACTTTTTTATAGTCCTTTAAAATACTTTATGGAGAGTAATAAAATGATAGACCCTGAGCACTAAATTTAAGCTTCTAGCGAATTATGAGAATTATCTACTTTATGACTAAAATGTTGAATGACTTACAAGTTTGTTAGCATCAACACCGAGGCCAAGCCAATAGTCGA